ATCTCATGAAGAAGAAAGGGAGGAAGAAATAGATCATGATGGAGTAAAAGGGTACAAGTGAGAAATCATTTGGAGATGATTTATGTATGTATATGTTTGAAAGAGAGCCTCAAACTTTTAAAAAGGAATTCACTTCCTCTGAAAGAGCTCAATGAAAAGAGGCAATTGAAAGTAAAATGGATTCTATCTTACAAAATCACGCATGAAAGCTAGTGGATATACCTCTAGGATGTAAACTACTAGGTTATATATGTATTATCAAGAGGAAAATGAAAGCAAATAGATCCAAAGAATATGAGAATCGGTAGAACATAATGGTCTATGATTTCAATAGAAATACACACTGATTTCTTGTTTGGAAATTTAGAATCAAATGCTACTTCTATACTCCAAGAAGCTATTTCCATTAAATCTAATAATGTTGGTTGGAATTCATCAAAACAAGACAAATGTTTTGGTGAATATTAAGATATTCAACATGAAGTTGAAAGGACTATTAATGGATATATGAGTATTCTAAATCAAATGATCTTTTCTTAAAATATTAGATTTGTAAAAACTAATGATGGTTCTATCATTTGAACTATTGAGTTTGGGAAATCATTGGGGTTTAGTGGATTTCCAAGTGAGAAGTAAGAGTTGATGGCATATTTGAAATATATGTTTCTATTATAAACATAATAATGCCATGATTAATTTCATTTGTACGCTCTTATAATTATATGTGGTTGTAACTTGTTGAAATTTGGAAGTATATCATTCTTATATGAAGCTAAAACTTCTAAACATATATTTAGAAGTATAAATGTCACACCCCGAAAACCTAAGGCGGAAACATTTCCGGGGCGGACTCCACATTGAGTATCAAATCCAATGTACATAGTAAGCAGAGTAAACAACCATTACATTACATATTAGAATTTACATCTATTCAAAAGTAAAGTGTTACAAGTGTTATACATATATCATATGAACAAAAGTAGAGATGAGTCTTCTGTACGCTCCGTCTTCTCCCAAAAGATCGCGGGTACCTGTCTAATATGGACTTGAGAATACAAGCAGTTTGAAAATCAGCATAAAGCTGGTGAGTTTATAAGATGTTTGTTTTTTTGAAAATGTACAAGTTCCCTTTGGTTTTCCGAAAAATTTTGTTATCCAAGAAAATCCCATATTTTCTTATATGTAAAGTTTAGTTATCTGTTATGTTACACGGTTCTAGTTATGCTCAACTGTTATCCCAGGAAAATCCTATATTTTCCTAAAAGTAAGTTAGGTTATTGAATCCCAATGAAATGTTTGATTGTTTTTCATACTTGGTATATTAGCTAGGTATTCTGATATCCTAATTGTGCTACACTTGAATGTACCTATAAGTGTGCCTTCGTATACGTATTCCTGTTCTTAATCATATTCATATTCGTATTTTATATTCGTATTCGTATTCATATTTGTATTCCTATTCGTATTCGTATTCTTACTCCTAATCCTAATACTATTCGTATTCGTATTCGTATTCGTATTCGTATTCGCATTCGTATTCGCATTCGTATTCCTACTCCTAATCCTAATACTATTAGTATTTGTATTCGTATTCGTATTTGTATTCGCATTCGTATTCGTACTCCTAATCCTAATACTATTCGTATTCGTATTCGTATTCGCATTCGTATTCGTACTCCTAATCCTAATACTATTAGTATTTGTATTCGTATTCGCATTCGTATTCGTACTCCTAATCCTAATACTATTCATATTCTTATTCGTATTCGCATTCGTATTCATACTCCTAATCCTAATACTATTCGTATTCGTATTCGTATTCGCATTCACATTTGCATTCGTATTCGTATTCGTATTCCTAGTTATACTTTCATATTCGTTATGTTCCTAGTTGTAATTTCGTATTCGTTCTGTTCCTAGTTATACTTTCATATTCGTTCTGTTCCTAGTTGTACTTTCGTATTCGTTCTATTCCTAGTTGTACTTTCGAATTCGTTCTGTTCCTAGTTGTACTTTCGTATTCGTATTCGCAATAGTTCTAATTGATGATTAGTATTAATTATTTGTAGAATGTGAAATATAATTTGGATTTGTAACACTCTATACAGAAATCTATGATCAGTTTGAAAGCTAACTTCGTAATTCGAATTATTTGATTAACACAGTTTTCGATATTAGAAACGTACAGAATAAAAAATTTGAACTGAAAATAATACGTTTGAGTTAAAGATTTCCTTGTACTTTTTCTTGTATTCCCCCCCCTGAAAACAGTGAAAAGCATTTGAAAAAGGGTAGGGGTATGAACTCACCGGTCGAGAAGCGTGTCGGACTGGATGCTAAGTATCAGTTCGGGGCTTGATAACGCGTGAGGTTCCTATGTAATATGAGATGATATACAAATGTATCTAATTAGACTTTAAATCACTAATTAGATATGATTATACACTCCAAGATGCGAAAACACTTCAAATCAAGTGTTTGGAGTGACCCGGGTGACATCTAGGGACGTATAAGGCTCGGATATGGAGTTTACTCCTCAAGAGTAAACTCATAAGAGGGTTTACGGTCTATGAAGATGTTCTTAGGGAGTTTACTACCTTAAACACATAAGTTTACAACCGTAAACTCATGTTTGTCCAAGATCCATGGGTGTTGGTGGTTGTAATTCAATCATATGCGATTCTAGGTCCAAAACCAAGCTATTCGAGGGGTTAAAGGCACCTTAACACCCCTTGAGGGGTGTTTACAGCCTAAGGAGGTAGGTTTATGGTCCAAGAATGTTCTTGGGCTGTAAACTCAAGTTGATCCCATTTGATGATGTTTTGGTGCATTTCTAGAAGGGTTCTAAGGTTATAGCACTCATGAAAGTTCATTGAAGGTGTTTAGGGGAAAACTAACACCCAAAAAGGTGTTTAAGGTCTAAGATTGAGGGTTTACGGTCCAAGCATGTTCTTGGACCGTAAACTCATGTTTGGTCCCTTCTTGTATGATTTGGTGCTTCAAATGATGGAGTAGAGGGTCCTAGACACGTTTGGAAGCTTGTGGTGGTGTTTGAGGGCATTTTTAACACCTTAAAAGGAGTTTATGGTTCATGCATAGGGGTTTACGGTCCAAGAAGGTTCTTGGGCAGTAAACTCATGTTCATACATCAAATATCATGATTTTGGGGTCCTTAGTCCATGCATGTAAGTTTCTAAGTCTAATCTAAGCCCTAGAAGTGTTTTGGAAGGGTTTTATGGCACAAAAACCCCATTTTCATGAGTTCACGGCCTAGGGATGTTCTAGGACCGTAAAATCATGCTAATGGTCCTAATCCTCATAAAAATATCGAATTTGAAGGTCTAAGATGCTAATTCATGAGTTAGGGAAGTTACCTTAGTGATTTGGAGCTTGTTTTGGATGATTTTGGCTTAGTTTTGGATTTTAGAGAGACAGAGAGAGAGAGAGAGAGAGAGAGAGAGAGAGAGTAGTGAGAGAAATTTTTTAGAGAGAGAGAGTAAAAGCCTCAAAATGATGTCACTCAATCCCTTATATAGGGGTTGAGTTTTAGCCCGGAAGAATTCTACCCGATACTGCCGTTAGACGGTGCTTTTGGTCGAACCCGATAAATTTGCCGTAATCATGATTTAGATGAAAATAATAATTTTCCAAATAAATATGGAAAATATTTTAATGATTATGACACATCCCGATATTTACGAAATCAAAATAAAAGTCGTGATAAAATTAAATTAACGCAAAGGTTAATGGAACGAATTTAATACGACGGATTTTTAATGACGTATCGGGTTACGACGACGGAACGAACTTCGGGTTGTCACAATAAATCTACATAGAGATACCAAGCAGTTTTCCTACCCGAGGAAAAGCATCAAAATGTGTAACTAGTTAATTCATTATATGACTTAAAGCAAGCTTTAAAGCAACATGTATCAAGAGTTTGAATATGTCATTCAACATCAATGGATGTGATGAAATAGATCCTTTAAAGTGTTATTCTATTTCGTCACATAATAGGATCCTAGAAATAGGATGCCTTAAGAATTTTACATGTAGATGGTTAAAGCAAGAAATTGCATGGAAAAATAACATATTTTCAAGGAGACTTATGTATGGTATATTCATAATTACATCTGGCCAATAACATGTTATTGTGAATTCATAAATACATGTAATGTATATGCTTATCGTATTATGTTGACACAATTATGCATATTTAATAGTCGTAACTATGGTTTAGTAATAATCATATTGATAATAGTCAAATTTTGTTGGAAAATATAGGAGAATA